GCTGTAGCAAAGGGCAGAAAAGAGTCCTTGCCAATGAGTCCTTGCAGACTTCAGTTTAGAGCGATCCATCGGGAGTTTGCTTTAAATTTGCCATTCTGATTAACATAGTGAGGCCAGAAAGCTATCGGTCTTACCGCTCACCCCAATTCCACGATTAGTTAAATGGAACCTCTCTCGGTAATTTGTGCTGTTTGCTTTCCGTCCACTGTAAAAACTGCCTGCTTAATTTTGCCCTCTGGGAGGGACGGCGGCTTGGTATAGCCCGATCACATCTCGGAAGCTAAATAGGGTTGGTACTTGGATGGGAGACCACCAAGAAAGACCCTGCAGAGGAAGGCAATGGCAAGCCACCTCTGTTTCTCACTTGCCTTGAAAGCCCTCTTGCTGGGGTCACCATAGGTCGGCTGCAACTTGATGGCACTTTACATGCCCAGTTTTGTCCTCTTCTACTAGTTCTTCAACCAGTTACTGATATGTAAGGGGACCTGTCCTCTTGTTCCACATCTGCTAATTTCATTTGAACACATTCTTGAGGGATTTTGTCAAACGCTTTATTATTTTTAAGTTGAAGTGTTTACTGGATCACCCGTTATCTACATCCTGGTTTTTAGTCAAGAGAATTCTAAAAGGTTGATGAGGCTGGGCTTGCCATTGATTAACTCTGCTGATTAGCTTTCAGAAAGACTCGTTCATACTTGTATTCCAACCACCTTAATGTTCTTCCAAGGTCTACCTGGGGCAGAAGTTAGTCTAATAGGTACAATTATCTAGTGAGGAGGTCTCATTTTTAAATATTCAGATTTCACATTTGACGTCCTTAAGGAGTCTGGTGAATGCCACTTGGCCCTGATTACTTGTTTCTTAATTAGTTCCAGAACTTCACCTCTGCTTGACAGGACTCCTCAAATGCGGTACCCAAAAACAGTGGTTCAGGTGTTGGGTATCTTGGACATCCGCCACTGAAAAGGCCGGTGCGAAGAACTTGTGTAGCCTCCTTTGGGAGTGAGAAGTGAACTGGACTGAAAATAAAGTCTTAGTTTTTTCCCCCAGTGCAGCTAGCAGCACGTGTTAAGACTTTTCTATTAGCCTGTGTTATTTCAGACTGGCTTGGCAAGGACCTGTGTCAAGAGGTTGCGTTCTGTTTACATTTTCAAGTTTCCACCTTAAATTTTACTTGAACGCCCTTGTACTTTCCAGGAATGTACAGGATGTTCTACAGACAGCAATGAACCGTCCTTCCCCTCCTTAGAACTGGCTTGGTACTGTCTGCTGAGCACTAAACAGAAACTGTCTATTTTCTTAACCCTCATTTGTTTATGCAAAGGCTGTCGAAACAGTGCTCTAATTTCATCCTCTCAGCTCCTGTTTCACTTCTAGTTGGACATAGTAGAGGCAAAAGCTACCTCTAGGTTGGCTGCTAGGGGCTAATTTCTTAATTGTCTGGTCAACTGCCAAAGTAATTTCCCAGAGCCTTAGGCAGGGCAGAGAGCCAGCTTCCCTTCTAACCCTAAACCCAACCCTGAACTTAGTTTCCGTATATCTGAGTTTAGCTTTTAAAACATGGCAGCTTAATGTTGTGAAAATGTCCTAGGCTATGTGGAAAACCACAGATTTAGGTGAAGGGGAAAGCGATTACAACATCACGATAGATAGTTGGTCAACCGTGTTGGTCTGAAGCAGTACAACAGATTTGGAGTCCAATGGCACCTTTAAGACCAACAAAGGTTTATTCAAGACATGAGCTTTCGTGTGGTGTCGTGGTTAAGTGCGCAGACTCTAGTCTGGGAGAGCCGGGTTTGATTCCCCACTCCTCCACTTGCACCTGCTGGATGTCCTTGGGCAAGCCATAGTTCTGGCACAGCTGTTCTTGAAAAAGAGCAGTGTCTGTCAGAGCTCTCTCAGGGTGTCTGTTGTGGGGAGGGGAAGGGAAAGGAGTTTGTAAGCCGCTCTGTGACTCCTTTGGGTAGTGAAGGGCGGGGTATAAATCCAATCTCCTCCTCTTCTTCTTTATGAAGTACGTAGAGTGAACAGCAAATTAACATGATGATGATCAAGATATGCAAAGTGACACTGAATAACAACCGAAGACTATAAGGTCAACAGAATGGAAAGAGAAATTGCTGAATTACAAGTTATTACAACACTTGGAACAATAACCTCCCCAGGACTCAACAGAGATATTTGGATTTTTATCTCATTACATATGCTAACTCATTCAGTCCTCACATATGTATTCTCAACAAGAGGGACTATAAATCCTCAGTCTTTTAATGTATTTTAGTGTATTCCTTTTTCAGAATAGTATATTGGAATACGGACTGTATGCAAGGGGTGTTAGGATGTCTGCTGACACAGCAGCATTTATTGGAGGGGGGGTATAGTGTTAAGTGCCCTCCCCGCCTGACAGGAGAGAATGAAGATTCCCAGTCACTTCCCACAATTAGGAAAGACGCCTTTAGACATTTCTCTGCTAGTTTGACATATTGCTTTACAACTGTTGACCTTAAAACCTTAACTTGTTATTTAGTGTCACTTTGCATATCCTGATCACCATCACGTTGCATGTTAATTTGCTGTTCATTCTCTGGCTATAACTCTGAACCTTTTTTGCCATTCTACGTATTTGATGAAGTTCGCATACACACGAAAGCTCATACCTTGAATCAATGCTCCCTCTAAGCTGTGGAGTCTTGTGAGCAAAAATTCTACTTTGTGAGCTACTGGCATCAACATTGTGAGCGAGTGATCTGGCTACTGCATCAATCAGTTTGCTCTGGAGCCCTCCTTCCTGAGCTAAAACAAAAATCTGTGCGCTGGAGGCTAAAAAACTGTGAGCTAGCTCACACCAACTCACCTTAGAGGGAACACTGCCTTGAATAAACCTTTGTTGGCCTTAAAGGTGCCATTGGACTCTAAATTTGTTGTACAACATCACGAGTAAAGGAAAGTGGTTTGTTACTTAGGGAGATGGTACCCCTGGTGTTTTCACGTCTAGGTCCAAAGCATGGTCTTAGAACAACTTATATACCAACCATTAATCAGACCCAGAGCAAAACAAAAATAACTCTGCTTGCCGTGACCTGGATAGGACTGGAATCCAAGGTGAGCTGAGCAGAGCTTGTCTACCTCTAGGAGAAATGCCAACACAAGAGAAGCCAATGTTGAATCAGGCCAATGACCCATCCAGTCCAACAGTATGTCACACAGTGGCCAGAAATACCAGGTGCCATCAGGAGGTCCACCTGCAGGGCCATCGTGGCTTTTTTTTGTGTTCCAAGTACCTATGACTGGAGGTACTTTTTCATCTACTTTTCCACGTATAATAAACCCTCATGGTGTTTTGGGTAGCATATACCTACAAACAATCATTCCTCAGCACAGCAAGGTTAAGAACCATTGGAGTAAGAGCAAAATGGATATTGTGAGAAAATCACATGTCTTTTGCTGTGCAAGCATGTGATTGGGTGAAGGAAATGGGCACATGCTCTGCTCTGGTTAGGCCTCACCTAGAGTATTGTGTTCAGTTTTGGACCCCACAATTTAAGAAGGATATAGACATGCTGGAATGTGTCCAGAGGAGAGCAGCAAAGATGGTTGAGGGGTCTGGAGACCAAGTCCCATGAGGGAAGGTTGAAGGAGATGGGTCTGTTTAGCCTGGACAGGAGACGACTGAGAGGTGATATGATCACCATCTTCAAGTACTTGAAGGGCTGTCATCTAGAGGATGGTGTGGAGTTGTTTTCTGTTGCCCCAGAAGGTCGGACCAGAACCAACGGATTGAAATTAAATCAGAAGAATTTTCCGCTAAACATTAGGAAGAACTTCCTGACAGAGCGGTTTCTCAGTGGAACAGGCTTCCTCAGGAAGTGGCGGGCTCTCCTTCTTGGGAGGTTTTCAAGCAGAGGCTCGATGGCCATCTGACAGCAATGCAGATTCTGTGAACTTAGGCAGATCATGAGCGGGAGGGCAGGAAGGGTTGCTTCAGTGCTTAGTTCTTGTGGCCCTTTTTTACATGCCCAGGGAAATGCTGATCGCCAATTTGGGGTCAGGAAGCAATCCTGGAGGTTTTTTGTCATCATCTGGGCATGAAACAGTGGTCACTGCAGGTGTGGAAGGGAAGGTATTTGTGAATTTACTGCATTGTGCTGGGGGTTGGACTAGATAAACCTGAAGGTCCCTTCCAGCTCTATGATTCTATGTGAAATAGTACTTGGCTTACAATGCTGTGCATTCTTACCAATGAGAAGGGCCATTTAATTCAATGGAGTAAACCCACATAAGACTTGAGTTGAAGTTTCCTGTAAATGGTGTCTCTTGGTTGATGGGGCAACAGAAAGATCATTGATCAAGAATTTATTGCTGTCTCTTATTTCCATGAGCAAAACAACATAACCAAATATATATTTTTTTAAAAATCAGTGCCTTTCCTGAATTTTCATGGTGCAAATAATTTCAGTAATTTCCCTGCGTATATGACATGCTCGTAATCCATTAGGGAGGCTGATGAAGGGCTCATGCACAAGATGAATTGATATCAATGTTGAGTTCCATACAAGCTGTGCAAAAAAACCTTTTAGATGCGTCAGTCATGCCTGTTGTCTGCACATCTATAGGGTTAGATCCAGCCAGCTTTTCACTGGCGAAAAAGGAGACGGGGGACTACCTTGACCACCCCAAACTGCTATGTTGGGGAGCATGGGACCTGCGTTGACAGAAGCTATATGAGACAGGGGCAGTAAGTAGACTGGAGAAGATTGAGCCCAAAGTACCTGGCTGTATCCAACCCATTGACTGGTATGTCATGAGGAAAGCCTACCAGTGGTGCGTCGATGGTTATGCATTGGAACATCATCTGGAAAATGGGTAAAGCTTGTAAGGATATGCCAGCCCAGAATATATATATTTTTTCTTATTGTGTGTGTGTGTGTTTTTTTAAGACAATCAGTATCTGAACATCTGAAATTTTGTTTGGCTTTTTTTGTTTTAATAGTGCGTTTAACAATGGAGCGACACAGTCAGAATGGCAACCTTGGACATTCGAGCCATCTGTCCACAGAACAGGTACAGCAGTGACAGCGCTAGTTGAAGGGTGAGTTCCTATGTTTGGCTGTTTCATGACTGCATCAGTTTCCCCCGCGAATTACCTTTTTCATCATGCCAGCAGTGAGGACTGAGCCTTTGAATGGTTGTCCTCACTTCCACTGCTGAGCACATTATGGAGGCTAACTTTCAGTGGGGAAGTTTGGATGGCCACTGCTGCAACACCATTTAGTTAATGTTCATAGACTTCACGGGACGGACTTGGTAGCTGCAGCCTAAATTCTTGTGTAACGGCTGACCTTTTGCCTGGGCCAATCATTACACTGAACTTCTAGACCCAGAATTCGAGAGATTTTCACTTAAGGCACGGCAGTGGAACTGATTTTGCCCTGGGCGTATCTCTTAAACCTGGAACTGGTGTAATAACCACATTATGCATTCATCATTCCATCATGCGCACGTTTTTGTGGTTACTTGCTTGGGCAAAAACCCTACCCCTTTGTGATAACATGATTCAGAGGGGTTTGATGAAATGTGTGTAGAATCTGCAGCAGAATCGTATACCCTCTTTTGACAGTTTGGCAAAAGTTAAGTAATCTGGCAGTGGCGCAACACATAGTTAGAGCAACACATTGCATTGAAGAAGAAAGGTTTTAGAAGCTGAAGATTAATTTTAAGTTATAAAGACGTGCAGCGACCGAAGCGACCGTGCTGAGTCCCAGCTAAATGACTGGGCATCCTGAAGTAGCCGTGACTGCAGTTCTGCGGGTGTAGAAATCAATTTGTTCTCTTACAGTTGAACCCATGAAGCTGCCTCACACTGAATCAGACCCTGGGTCCAGCAAACCCAGACTGGCAGCAGCTCTCCAGGGTCTCAGGCAGAGGTCTTTCACATCACCTATTGCCAGATCCTTTAATTGGAGATGCCGGGGATTGAACCTGGGAGCTTCTGCATGCCAAGCAGATGCTCTACCACTGAGCCACAGTACTATTTTATCCCAGTGCTCTCCTTCTGACAGATCTCACAAGAACATCAGAACATAAGAGAAGCCAATGTTGGATCAGGCCAATGGCCCATCCAGTCCAACACTCTGTCACACAGTGGCCAGAAATACCAGGTGCCATCAGGAGGTCCACCGGTGGGGCCAGGACACTAGAAGCCCTCCCACTGTTCCCCCCCCAAGCACCAAGAATCCAGAGCATCACTTGCCCCAGCCTGAGAGTTCCTATCTATACCTTGTGTCTAATAGCCACTGATGGACCTCTGCTCCATATGTTTATCCAATTCCCTCTTGCAGCTGTCCATGCTTGTAGCCGCCACCACCTCCTGTGGCAGTGAATTCCATGCGTTAATCACTCTTTGGGTGAAGAAGGACTTCCTTTTATCTGTTCCAACCCGACTGCTCAGCAATTTCATGGAGTGCCCACGAGTTCTTGTATTGTGAGAAAGGGAGAAAAGTACTTCTTTCTCAACCTGCTCTATTCCATGCCTAATCTTATAAACCTCCATCATGTCACCCCTCAGCTGTCGTTTCTCCAAGCTAAAGAGCCCCAAGCGCTTGCAGTCGTTTGAGAGCTGAGCTCCGAGCGAGGGATCGTTTCTTTGGACTTAAAGGGTCTCTGAATAATCAGAGACCACCCCACGCTCCAGGGAAGGAGTAGTGGGGGGCAGGGGGCTTGAGCTGAGGTCCCAGTGAGACGGCAACTCACTGGGAGACCTAATTAGCTCGCTCTGAAGCAAGCCGGAGGAAGAAGCTCACTGTGGTGGGCAGAGCTGTTGCTGCCGTGAGATCAAGAGGCTGACAAGCAGATTTTAAAGTGAGCACAGAAACGTGAGTGAAAGAAACTGCTCTGTGTTCTCAAAGTAAAGACTGTCGTATTTGAAATCCCCAATAGACTGGGAAATTTCTCTAATTCTACTTAACTGGCCAGAACCGAAGGGAGAAATTTCCAACTTGAGCTGTGTTTTGGCAAAGTAGAGGGGAGGAACGGAACGGCTGGGGAAAAATACCACCAAACTGCTAAGAGAAGAGTAAGAGAAATTTAAAGAGAGATTTTATAGAGAAGCTATGGAGTTTTGTGGATGTATAAAGAGCTAGCAAGTCCTCACACTTTCTCCGATCTCAATTTTTCCCTCCATCAGGAGGGGAGCAAGAGGCCCATTATAATTAGTGGGGTGAAATGGTAGAGCTGACCTGGAAATTTAATAAAGACTAAAAGTGCTTGCTATGTCCATAATTGACTATTGATGGTTTTAAAACTGAGTCTCCCCCAACGGAGCATGGATGTGTATGGAACAGGTGGGAAAAGATGGTGACCTTGAACAAATAATAACAAAGTCTAGGCGTGTGGCCAAGGGATACTGGCGACTCTCCAGCACGGGGCAGTGAACCAGAACTGGGCTTAAACCATAACACAGAGATAACAGAGTCTGGGAAGTCAGTCAGATGGGAAAAAAACAATAAATAAAGAGACAATAGTAAAATTGGTTAGAATTTGTATAAAGCTCAGAGAACAATCAGCAAAATGTAATCTGTTAAAACTGTTCACACTGCCAAGACTACACAACCTTCACCAGGAACAGGGGGT